TGTGCGGTAACTCTGCTCTCCAGCAGGCAGTCACCGGTGCTGTCATGGGGCAAGTGGTCGCCAAGTGAGGCTCGGACTTCCATCAAGCAGGCTAAGGTAATGAAGGGGCCCAGGTTGGGCAGTGTGTAAAAGCACAGGGTCAAGGCAATAGTAACAGCTTGATATTCCGGAAAATATCTTCATACTGACAAAACTACCTCACAGAAAGTTGGGGGTTCCCCCTCCCCAAAAAAAAGAATGCTTTATTGGGAGAAGAAGATAATGGCAGATAGAAAATAACTCAGAGAAAGAAGTCAAAGTAATTTCTCAGTTTTAAAGTCGTTTTTGAACTTTAAGCTCTATCTAATCCCCAAAAGGGTATTTAAGGCAGCGCCTTGAAATTGCATGGGCCAAGTTTAGAATGGGGTAACAAATGGAAGCCACAGTAATGAGGCACCCCCAAATGCTGCCACTGAAGTGCCATTTCTCTGCATTTCTTCCCCCATTCCCAACTAACAACAGGGTACTGCTACAGGATAACACTTCCTCTGTGCTTCTCTGCGAGTTCATCTGTGTATGACCAACATACGGACATCATCAAAAATGGCAAGCCTTCTGGCCAACAGTAGAAAGCCTCTCAGGAACAACTAAAATAACCAACTAAAGACAACTTCAAATTCTATCTGATGCGTAACAACTGCTTAAGAGTAGCATCATTAGTGATCACTGGTGTTTAGGAAAAGTATTGTTTGGTAAGGACAGTTACCCCACCAAAAATAGAAAAAAAAAAAGTTGACTGAAGGCAAACTCTATATATGGGTGCTACTTCAAGTTCTTTCAAGGATAACATAATCCTACACTAGCATTAACCACTAAACTTTATTACTGGAGAGTGTACAGTTCCTCACATATCCACAGGTACATAATTTAATTGGATGCTCAAGCTCTTTCACTTTCATTATTTCTCCCTATGACAAAAGGTCTATTTTTATTCTTCTGAACTGAACTGATCCATGGCTAGATTTCAAAGGAGAGGCTGTTTTCTCAGTTTTCAGATTCTTTGAGAATACCTTAAGAAATCTCTTCGGAAAATACAAATGTTTTGACACTGATTCCGAGAGGAAGCTTTTGGACCACTACCTTGCAGTTACTTTTCTGAACCTTCCCAGCTTAGCTGCCAGAATTATATCTGCTCGGTAAGTGCAAATGTGAGGAACTGCACAGTTCCACAACAGCTTGGCAAAGGACCTGGAAAGACCACATTTTGGAAAATATTTTTGCAAGATGGAAGACAAGGCCTGGTGTTGTTTATCAAAATGTAATAGGCCATTTGCAAGTCACATGAAAATAAAGCAAGAGCCTGAGGTGTCTCACCCCAAGCCTTCTAAATATGACAGGGCCTTGAAATTAACCCTCGTGTGAACAATTATATCATATGAAGTAAGGATATACAATCTCTTCTGCCTCTCCTAGGCTTCATGTCACTCTGATGGACATGAGTGCACTGTACATTGGCTAGCCTGTCCTTCTTGCAGAATCTGTACTCTAGCTGCATGTGGCTACCGTGTCTTGAAAAGTGGCTAGTCCAAATTAAGCTACGCCACAGTATAAACTACACACTGGGTTCCAGAGGCTAAATTCAAAGGGGGGAAAAGTGTAAAATACCTCACTAACAATTTTTACATTGATTACATGTTGAAATGATATTTTAGATATATTGCATTAAGTAAAATATATTATTAATTTCATCATTCCTTTTTAGTTTTTCTAAATGTGGCTACTAGAGTATTTAGGATATATAATGAGACTCTCATATTTCTATTGAACAGTGCTGCTTTAGGCACTTGAATTCCAGGAGGAAGATAGATATAACCTTTTGCAGAATGAGCAGAGGTATCTGCAGACTTTATACAAGCATTTCCCATGCTCTGCTGACCTCATCATTAGTAGCATTTATAAGTAGCTTTCTTATCATAAGATTCCCCTTTAATCTCACATACAGACGCAGTCTTATTGGTTTAGGCTTTTTCTTCAGCCATATTATATATTAAGTGTATTTAGTAAAAAAGTGCCTTTGCAAAGCAGCATCCTGAACATCACCCAATCATCTAAGGCTTACATTCTCACCAACTGCTGTCAACAATCAAATTTTACTTTGAAAACTACCATACCTTCCTTGGAATACCAACTTTGTTGGAGCTAATGAAATGTATGGATTCAGCTAATCCACAAGCCCACCAAATGTCCAGACTCACTAGACCAGGGCAAATAGCAAGAGAAGTTATGACAGCAAATGACTGGGCTCACGGATTGTCAGAAAAGAGCTCCTTTATTTATTCATTTATTCCTTAAGAAAACATTTATGAAATGCCAGCAACTGCCAATCACACTTTTATTGTGGTTTTCTATTCTATAGGCTTTATACAATAGAATAGATAAATCATTCTCAAAAAGGAAGTTGTTTGGCAGAAAACTTTTCAAGTGTTCATCAAAATTGACTGTTCCGTCTTGATACCTGGTCGTTATCATTGTCAATTCAGGTGAACATATGACCACATTCTTCCAGATTTTTGCTTATTTGTTGGTTGCTTTCCAAGAATGAAATTGTTTTGTTTGCATCAGGTTTTTCAATAGCTTTTTCAACTAACTCTCAATAATACCATTAAAGTTGGGGGGGGGTGAGAGAGAGAGAAGTGAAGGAATAAATAAAATGTCAACTAGTTTTTTCTCTTTAGTGTGATATTTGTTTCTTCCTCTCTATCACTCACCTTGGATCTCTCCCTCAACTGAAATGGCTTTACTGTTTCACCATATATTTTTCTCCATGCTTACATTACATGGGGCAGAGATTCAGGTTTTGGAAGGCCCTAAAACATATCTAATTTGGGAGCCTACTTTAAACATGCAAAATTATTAACACAAAATTAGGCATATGACCTTAAAAGGTACCCATGCAAGTGGATGGAGGTTGGGGGAAATCTCTAAAATTTAAGTTTCATTAGCTTCAAAGTAAATCTGGCCATATAATACAGACATAGACCTACATGAATGGAATGAGAATATTGTTTGTTTTATTAAAAAGGGATTATAAGCACTCTTCTGTATCTTTTCTTTTTAACAATACACTATAGAAATCATTCCAAGACAAGTGCTGCAGTTCAATTCATTTTTTGAGTAACTACATAATATGACATGATTTTTATATATACTACAGATTATCCAACCTTCTCCCTTATAAGTGCATATTCCCTTTGTTTCTAGTTTTTTGAGGTAAGGGTCCTTTTGCCTCCGCTAAAAATGCTACCAAAAAATGGTTTTAGGGTATAAAACAGAGAACACTCTTTAGTGATTGTTAATACATTGCACTAAATTTGTTCATTTGGGGGGAAAACAGCAGTTTTATGATGTTAAGATTTTCTATCCAAGAACACAGTATATGCTTTTCCATTTGGCCATAATCCCATCCATAGGGAATTTCTGATCTAATAAGGAGAATAAAGCTTGTACACAAATAGCCATGATGTAAGAAAAATGGAAAGTACAAACCGCAACACATGAAATTGAGGGGGAGGGAATACTTCAGAGGTGACGCCTGAGTTTGAACACACATCAAGTGGAGGAGAGGAAAGGTAAAGGAGACGGGGATCTGGGAGAAAGCAAGCTCAGCCAGGGCACAGAGCTATTCAGAAAACAGTACATAAGCAGCTCGCAGGGGCGGGAACACACAGTGCGTACGGTGAAGAAACAGGAGACAAGGCTGAAGAGCAGGCTGGAGATCATCACAGCTAAGACTGCCAGGACAAGGGAGTGTACCCTCATTTTAGCAGGGCAATGGGAACAAAAGGCAGTTTGGGGGCCAAGAACAAGCCAAGATGAGAGCTCGGTTTTAAGATCACTCAGTCGAGTGTGTGCCAGACAGCCTGGGAGGAGAGGGGACAGTGCTCAGGTAGAGAACGGTCATAATACATAGTCCACAGGAGAAGATGTGAGACCTGAGCCAGGGGAAAAGAAGTAAGAACAGAGGGGGAAGGAGAGACATAATAACATCGTGTGGTACCAGCAACAGGAATTCAAATGCTCACTAGATTAGCGAGGAAAAGAAAGTGATGTTTCTAGTCTTGAGTCTAAGTGAACAGTAGGATGGCAATGCCATTAACAAATAAAGTAGAAGACCATATTTGGGTAAAAGATGATCAATTCCTTTTCAGATAAGTTAAATTTAACATGTAAGCATGATAGCCAAGTAGATGTATGCTGGATTAGAGCCCATAATGTGAGGGCTGCCCTGTCTTACTAAGGACAATAATGAACTGTATTACTCATCTGGAGAAGCCCAACAGATGAGCTCACTTTCAGAGAATGTTAAGCCTCCTCACATTCTACAGGATTCTCATCTTTTAGGAAAAGTTAACTACTTCTAGACTCCTCCTTCTACTACTCAGACAGTGCTCTTCTTCAATGTGTCCTTTGGCACAACCTAGCATGGACACCCTTTGCATAAACTCTGAACCAGTGAGCAGGCAAGAAGACGTATTCGAAAACTTTCTAATGGTGCCATGGGAAAAAATTTCAGCCAACTTTTAGACCTAAGTAATTCAGCCATATTTCAAATTAAAATTTATAAGGTGAAAAATATGATAAAACACAAATCCAGTTTTGTTTTAAATAAAACCTGAATTTTAAAATAAATGTAACATATAATTTAATTACCCAGCTATACTTTTAAATTGTCTTCTTTTATAAACTCATGGTACAAAGTGACTGTCAATAAAAGTTTGTTAAGAGACTAGATAGATAGATAGATAGATAGATAGACGATAGAATGTTCTCAAACTAAAATTTTGGTGATTCCTGGTTCAAAGGCAATAACCAGAGCTGAAAGGATGAAGCTGACAACTATAGAAAATTCCAGAATGCTTTTCTTTAACAGCCACTCACTTTGCAATACCTGAGCATGAAAGGGGAAAAAACAAATTAATCAGCATGAAATTATGTTTTGTAAAAAATTTAAAAGTACAAACCTCATAATGTTCGTATTCATCCACATCAAATGTCTCAAAGTCAAAAAATCCATGTTGTAATCCCTAAAAGCAGAATTTGAATTAGCTTTTCCACACTAAATAATAATATCTACAATACATTTTTGGAACTCCTACTTACAAAATGATCCTTATTGACCTAGAAGAGAAAGCTTGAAACCTTTGATTTTTTTTTTAATGTATACCTAGAAATCATCCTATAACATTGGTAATACTGCCTTAATTTTGTCTTAGAAGTGAAACTAAATACTTAGAATGACATGAAAATATGTCCCACAAAAGATGCCTCTTGAATTCTAATTTACATTAGTTTTATATGTACAATGAATTATGTATATAAAATGGAATATAGCACATTTACAGTTAGAACCCATTGGGAACTATACCTATCATAAAATATATCATAGTGATTAACATCTCAGATAAGAGAAGAAAAATCAGTTATTTTTAGTAGGTTTTATTTTCCTCTTATCATAAAAAGTTATTTAACACAAGGAAAAAAAAGGTATTTTTACTTTTCTTTTTTCCTTCCCATTCCCAACCCACAACCCAAATAGTTCTACCTAATAGGTACTTATTTGTTCCTAAAACTCTACCTTGGGCGAAGTTGTTTCATGGCGATACTTTCTGACAAAGTAAAAGTATACCTGACTGCTCTTACAATTCAGAAGGAAGAACTGATATTTTTAACAACACAAGGAAAAACTTCATACTCCTTTTGTAACTAATGATTTAGAACTTTTAAAAACTACCCCTTGCTCAGATCTAATATTTTAAAGTGGACAAAGAGTCTGTTATTTTATAAAAGGTGAAGCTATACAGATTACAAGAGAATACAAAACCACAAGTACATTTAAAAGTTACATGATCAAGTCATTAAAAATAGAAAAAGAAACTAGTAAGCCAAGCTCCAGCACATCTATCTTTGAAAACACTTCAGAGACCAGTGTTTTTTCCAAAACGTAGAACAAGGACCATCTGCATCAGAAACACTTAGAGTAACTTAGATTTTTAAAAAAAAACAGATTCCTGGGCTCCATCCCAGAACTATTAAATCAGATTCTCTGGGGATATAACCTAGGATCAGCATTTTAGCATGCCTTCCTATGTGATTCTTATACATGCTAAATTCTGACAACACTAGCTTAAACAACCCTTAGAGTAAGCAGAACAAATTATTTAAATTATTCCACCTTTAAAAAAAAGAAAGAAAAAAACAACCTAGTTAATCCATATGCACCATTCCAGAGAAAACAGTGAGAAAAACAGATTCTGAAGGATCCACTTTTCTTTGTTTCTGTTTTCGAAGTGTGTGTTTATATACGTCTCTGTGTATAGTAGTTCACGTAACATATAAACTATTCTTATGATAATTTCAATACTTCAAAATCAGAAAAATTATGCTCCCTAAAAGGCAAAAATGTGGCCATATTCTATAGGCATTCTCAGAAAAGTACCACTTATTCCCATAAAAATAGGCCAGAACATGGTGCCTTACCTAAGAGAATGGACATTCGGGAAATGTTTCAGTTGCTTAAACACCTGTTAAACAATCTATCAGATCCTCTAAGATCTCATCTATATTTGAGTAAACCCCCAACATTTGATGAAACAATAAGTTTACAGAAGACCTTATTTATAAACAAAGCCATACCTTTCTTCTACAGCAGGAAGGATGTTCATATCTATAGCAAGTTACTAGTTACCATAATAACAAACAGGGATATTCCAATGTGAACTCTTTGTGAATTTCTTATGTGTTAAAAGAAATGTCCGTACCAGATGGTAGGAAAGGCAAAATAATAATAGTAACAATAAATAAATGATTTTCCCCCTCAAGCGTATTTCCTAAATGCTATAATTATGGCTTAAATGTTAGGTTATATCTCTATAAAATTTCTTAACTGGTATTACTGGAAGTGCATTTTGGTGATATCATTTGCAAGGGTGGGTTAGAGTATTTCCATTGTTTTTTAAATGAAAAAAATATTTGAAAACTATTTTAAAGTTTGAGAGGTTTTAAATTCCTTTTAAAATGATAAGTCAAAGTCAGAAACAAACATGAATAAAACAGGTAGCATATTTATTATACTGATTTTCTCAACTGAAAACATAGCAAAATTGGTTTTATATTATATCAAAGAAAAGAAATGAGCTAGAATTGCTACCAATATTTTTAGTATTTCTAGTCTACCAAATACCAATATTGCTGTATTTCTAGTCCATGGTGACCCTTCCCAATGGGTTATATAATATACACATTCTTGATGGATACCAAATCCTGGCTAGATGTTCAATATGGAATTATGTAATTTGAGCCCACACTCAAGAATTTACAGAATAGCTTGTATGACTTCTCAGATTGTAAATTCATGTTTCTAAAACATATTCCAAAAGCTCTCAAAAAATATATATATACACACACACACACACACACACTATATAACTATAATTTGGTTCTCAATCCTTACAGTGCATCAAACCACCTGGAGGGACACATACTGCAGGGCCCCAACCTCAGAGTTTTATATTCAGTCGGTCTGGGGTGGAGACCAACTAAAAGAGGAGAACAGTGGCTTAGATAACTTCCTGTCTTTCTCACACCAAGATCAAGCTTGATAATGAAGCTCAACAATGAAGCTGACAAGCAATGTCACAGGCACAGCAGCAGATGGAGCTGATAAATCTGTCCTAGAACATAATTAGTTTAAATGAGAAAAAAAGGTCCTTCTCTTCCTCCCCCTAGTTTGTCCTATTATCTGTATTTTGCAAATCTGTCTTCACTCAAGAGGTGAAAACCTTCTACTTACTGGCTCCCCTTTCTTCTCTCCTAACCACAAGTAAGGATGCTGAGATTATTCCTTGTTCATATTTTTAAACTATTGTGTCAATTATAGCAAGGAGAATTATTACCTTTCTGATTCCCTGCAAACAGTCGAGGATGGTGAGACTGTAAGTGCAATTTCCAAAGGAAGCATCCCTATAAACATAAATAAACTCAACATTAAAAACTTTGCATGTAGAACATTCAAATAATAAAATACCAAAGTCAGTTGGAGACGTGTTTTTTGGCTTCACAGTTATCAACAAGGCAAACTTACACATTATGTCCTACTAGTGAACTACTCCTGAGGCTTACCTGAAGCACTTCTGAAATCACTTTAATCTAATAGGCAGAATTAATAAGAAAGCAGATTCACGAGCCTGGGCTCCAGGGTCAGACTGCCTTCGTTCCACTTCCAACCCCGCCAGGGACTGCCCAGGAAGTTGAGCAAGTCATTTTACCTCTACAAGTCTTGGATTCTTCATCTGTGAAATAAAGTTAATGATAGTAGCTATCATTCATAGGATTCTTATCAGATTATATCAAGAAAATATGTAAAGTCAGCTGAGAGTGGCACTTGTAGTCCCAGCAACTCAGGAGGCTGAGGCGGTAGGATACTCCAGCCCAGAAGTTCGAGTTCAGCCTGGGCAACATAGCAAAACCTCATCTCTTAAAAAAATTTTTTTAATTTTTTTAATAAAAATAAATAAAATATGTAAAGTCCTTCACATCCTGACATATGGGAAACAAAATATTATAACCATTATTAACAGTGAGTTGAACTGTTTAAGTAAAACAGTCATCATTATGAGAGGTATCCTAGCAGAGAAACAAACTCCTACCAGGAATATGGCAAATACAAGCATTAAAAGATAAGGGGACACTGTATGTAGGTCAACAGAACCTAGCAGGTGTTTTCCTGGATTAAATGCCATGCCTCTCCTACAAAAAAAGAAAACAAAACAACAACAAAAAAAAACAGTGTAGTCACGCTTCTAAACAATCTCCTCTCAGCGTCACTAGGATCCATGAGAGTTCCTAATGCATCATGAAGTGCTTGATCAAAAGGAGTGAGAACCCACTGCACCGAAAATTGAGTGCTTCATGCTTTATTTAAGTTTTTAGAGCAATTTAGCAGGCCTGCTTTAGGCAACATAAAACTAAAGTATCATGTTCAGGTCAGCTAAGCAAGAACTGGCACCAGAGCTTTAACACTAGCAATGTTCCAAGGTGTCCACAGCAAGAAACTTGACCCCAAGGCTCTCAGTCTCTCTGCCCAGCCCCCACTGCTGACCTGCTGATGCAAGGAGCAGAGCTGTCAGGCACCTGCCCTGGACAAAGTCAAATGAACTACGTACACAACATCAGCCCTCCAGGATGGTGTCAAAAGATGTCCTTTGAGGAGAACACAATCTTTAAGGGCTTTAACATATAATTAGCATAAAACAAAGCCTTTTATCACTAACCATCCAAGGTAACTTGTACCTATGGTTGCTAAGCCATAAATTAAAATGTAACTTCATCATCACTGAGTTTCAACATCCTGATAGCCTAATATAAAAATAGTAAGTTAGCAAAGCAGCTTAACAGAAATGTTTCTTAAGTCCTGAAACTTCAAAGTTATTCCAGATATTTGAGTCTGATTTCAAGAGGTGGTTTTATGGTTTTTATGTTTGTTTTTAAATACCATCAAACTCGTGTGTCAGAAAAAAACAAAATAGTCCCCTTTCAAATATCTTGCAAAGATGTAGACATTAGGAAGCAAATTTTAATGGACTATGCCAAAAAAAGAGTATCTGGGGATCTAAGATAAAATATTAGCTTATATAAATAACCATGCATTCCCTTGCAGACACTTGTCTTTTTGAGACAAAGGCTCAGAATCTTTGTGCCATGGACCCTCAGTGATCTGAAGAAGTCTGTGGACCCATTTTTTGAGAATAATGTTTTTAATGCACAAAATAAACTACATAGGATTAACAGAAAACTAATTCAATTCCATTTAAATAAAGTTAGCAAAGTATTTTAAAACAAATTCATAATACTCCAATATGTACTTTTTAAATTAATATATAACAAGACCTAGTGGTGGTTCTAATAATCTATAATTGAGGAAAGAATAAGCATAAATAATATTTTAAGATATAACAGCTATAACATGATATAAAAATTTCTGTGATTTCTATTGTGACAAATTCACTTATATTGCTAATACTACTACAGTTTATATCCAACATTTATAATTGAATATATTCTTATAAGGTATAAGGTAAGGTTAGTATTAATAAAGATATAATTTTTTTCTCATCTAAATGAACTGACTCTGAATTCTCTCCACAGACCCTAGGTTAAAAACTACTGCTTTAATTTTTGTAAAGGGGTTAAAACATGTATTTGTATTTAAAAAGAGTAAAATCAAATTATGAGAAGTGCAGATACCCCTTATTCTTTCAAGTATATCTTCCCACCTCTAGACTCAGCCAAACAATTTCATAAATACAAGTTTCCTGAGAAAGCTCCAGACCTAGTCTTTCAGAATGTCTGCAAAGTATGGTGAGACTGTGATGACATCTCTTGTCCTATCATAGCCACGATTGTTACCAATGACTGAAAAGAGAGCTCTGGTAACTTGGTGATCAAATCTGCAAGTCTGTAAAGCTAGAAGGGAGAGTTAATAAGCCATCTGACAGAATTAGGATACAAATCAGTCACAGCAGGCTGGAAAGATACCCACAAGTTTACAAATTGAAATATAATGAGGGATGCAATAAAATTAAGTCATATCCTCCATACTGAGGAAAGAAGATGACACACCTTTTTTTGAGTGCCTACTGTGTTGGATAATATTAAATGCATTGGCACATTTAACTCTCATGACAGCCACATGGTGACACTAGTTTCCTAAAGCCTACTCCTCCCTACCCCCCAAGACTGAGCAGAAAAGAAATGGCTTATTGTAGTGTGTGGCTCATACATAGTCACAGGAGAGTAACTCTAACAGTGAAGGGACACACAACTGTGTTATATATTCTCTTGGGGGAGAAAAAGAGAGAAAGGTAAAAATGGAAGATTGAACCCATGCATCTACCAATCCACTAAAAAGAGAATTTTTAAAAGGCATCTTTTTTTTAATGGCATCCAAAAAAGGACAAAGAGAATAAAAGAAGAGACAAAAAAATTTGAAAACTGGAAGTCACATGGACAAGTGGTAAATAAGTTCGAAGACCAGGAAAACTGAATACTAAGCTGACAGTGAAAAGATCAGACATGGTTGTCACACTACATACCATATAAGTCTCAAAAGGCTTGGGAATTGGCAGCACTGGGTTCTTATGGAAGTGAAAATGAAGGAAAAGACTGGATTAAAAGTTCATTTAAGAAGCTGAGAGATTTTACTCTATGAAAGCAACATTACCTCCCATTTAATAAATCAATCTTCCCTGCTGATTTTTCTCAACCCGCCAATACAGTTAGAACTATCTCAAAATAGGTTAGCCCTGGAAGGAAGCAAAGATACCTGCCCCACATCTTGTTCAAACTTGAATTGCAAGATCCCTCTTGACGACCTTTTTTCACCTGTGTTATAATATGAAATGGAGGTCAGGGGTTAGGAAAACACCAGCAGGCTCTATTAACCTCAAAATCCCTTCCTACTCTGAGATTATATCACCATTCAACACTACTGATCTTCTCTTCTCTCTCTCTCTCTCTCTCTCTCTCTCTCTCTCTCTCTCTCTCTCTCTCTCTCTCAGAATTTAAACATTTTCAGGTCTCTACTATCTTTAAAAAGAACAAACCATCCAAAACTTCCTTAACTCTACATCTTCCCCTCAGCTACCACTCCCTTTGGCCTCTGAAACAAGATTTCTCTAAAGAATTACTCATCTTCCTTTGTAAAGTGTACAATTCAGTGGTTTTTAGTATATTCATAACATTGTGCACTATCGCCAGTCATTCCCACTCATTTTTTAATCACACCAAAAAGAAACTCTATATTTATTTGTAGTCACTCGCCATTTCCCCTCCCCTCAGGCCCTGGCAATCTACTAATTTATTTTCTGTCTCTCTGGATTTACTTATTGTAAGCTCAGGGAACATTTTGCCAGCATCGTCTTACTTAATATGTCAGCAACAAGTAACTCCCCTCTTTGAATACTCTCTTTCTCTTGGCTCTCGGATTTTCCTTCTACTTTTCTTAACACTACTTCCCAATCTCCTGTGCAAAATCATCCTTCACCTCTCAGTCTTTTTTTTTTTTGAGACACAGTCTCACTTTGTTGTCCAGGCTAGAGTGAGTGCTGTGGCGTCAGCCTAGCTCACAGCAACTTCAAACTCCTGGGCTCAAGCAATCTTTCTGCCTCAGCCTCCCGAGTAGCTGGGACTACAGGCATGTGCCACCATGCCCGGCTAATTTTTCCATATATATATTAGTTGGCCAATTAATTTCTTTCTATTTATAGTAGAGACGGGGTCTTGCTCTTGCTCAGGCTGGTTTCCAACTCCTGACCTCGAGCAATCCGCCCGCCCCAGCCTCCCAGAGGTGCTAGGATTACAGGTGTGAGCCACCGCGCCTGACACCTCTCAGTCTTTAAAAGCTAGACCTCTTCCACGTTCAATTCTAGGCCCAAATTCATCTCACGCCCTACTCCTTCCCCAGACCAGGGGCTCTCAAACTTTAGTGTCCATCAGCATCACCTGGACACTTCCTTAAAACACAGATTTCTGGGCCCCACCTGAAACCTCTGATTCAACAGGCCTCAGGAGGGCCTGAGAATTTGCCAGTTCCCAGGTGGTGCAGATGCTGCTGCTAGAAGGGAACACATTTTGAGAGCCACTGCCCCAGACAATGTCATCTAAACTACCATCTCTCTGCGATGCCCCTCAAATTCACCTCTCTAGCACGAACTCCTTAAACCTTCAAAAACAGCATAGCCGGGCCAGGCGAGGTGGCTCACGCCTGTAATCCTAGCTCTGGGAGGCCAAGGTGGGTGGATTGCTCAAGATCAGGAGTTCGAAACTAGCCTGAGCAAGAGGGAGACCCCATCTCTACTATAAATAGAAAGAAATTAATTGGCCAACTAATATATATAGAAAAAAAAAATTAGCCGGGCATGGTGGCACATGCCTGTAGTCCCAGCTACTCAGGAGTCTCAGGC